CACAAAACCCTGTGCCACATCCACAGCCCATGGTGCTAAGCACCACCTGAATGGGGAGGAGGGACACCCAGACCATATGCTGCCTGGGGAGCACCCTGGGGCCACCCACTCAACACACAGCATCTGCACCCCACACTGTGCCTGGGTCCCCGGTGCTGCTGGGAGGCACTTTTCCTTAAAGGGTGTGAATTTAGGCTCTGAACCCAGCACTACATGCAACTGAGCTGCTCGAAGGAGCAACACCCTGTTCTCAGCTAGTCACCCCGCAGGCAGAAACTCAGGAGGGTACGGTGCCATACCAAAGCATGCAGAGCAAAGCCCTCACCATCCTGCCTTGATGCCTGGCTGCAGTTTGGGAGGAGCAGTTAAATCGCTGAACTGGGCTTGCTGGTTTGACCAATTGCACAGCAACAAGGAGGTTTGTGCCTCTGGAAGTCAATGGCTGAGTAAAGCCTGGAAATAACTAGAGCCCAGATACTGCAGATCTCTTGGCCCCGTGAATAAATCCAGTGTTTCCTCCTGCCATTGTTACTGGTAAGGGAGGGAAGACACCCCCCCCCCCCCCCCCGCTGATTATTTTGCCTTTAGTGACAAAAAACTGCAGGGCAAAGGATGCATTGGGTAGCACTTGCAGAGCCAAGGGAGAGGAGTCAGGGAAATTGTGACTGGAGATGTGTGTGTGCATGTGTGCCTGCACTCAGAAATGGTTTTGTTTCGATAAATTTGATCATCCTCTGAAAAATGTATATCCTGTTTCAGAGGTGCTAATTAAATATAGGCTTGTCTAATAAAGCAAACGCTGAAAAGGCTGTGTGTATTATCTGCCAGCAGAGCCCTATATAGTTTTTTCCTGAGCTTCTGCAACTTTTGTAAGTATATGAGAGCACAGCAGATTTGCATGGACTTTGACTAAAGGAAGCAAAGACCCATATCTGAAGCTACAAATTGGACTATGAGATAAGAACTCTCCTGAAATCTATATGCAATTAAAAGCCCAATCTTCCTTCCTATAGTGACAAGGTTATTGCTTTTATATAGCTGAACAGAGATGAATGAGTCTACGGATTAATAGCACTAAGATTTATGACACTGTGCTTGCCCCAAATATTATGAGAGAATAGCTCTCTGGGTGAGATATTCCAGCTGAATAAATTTGACAGGATTTTTTTTTTCCTTTCTTTTTTTCAGCTTGGTATTATTTGGGAGAGTTGCGTTGCATTCAGAGATTGTTAGTGCTGTGGTTTGATTATCTACTAATTGTCCCACACATATTCATGCTTTATAAAAGTGTTACCAATAACTGGAGTCTCACGAAGACAAATGTCATTGAACAAAACACAGAACATGTTATTTTAAAGAGCATGACACTCCAATGGCATTAAACTCCTGGCAAGGTCCTGACCAATGATTTCAGTGTAGCTGTGCTGCTTTGTGCCCATGGGAGAGGGTCACGCCTATGCCCCATGGATGTCCTAAATGGTATGGCTGTTACAGTACCTGGAAGCTGGTTGTGCAGGCATAAGCTGGGATAGCGTTTATAAAACCAGCATCAGGTTTCCCTTAGACCCCTCAATTTGCCATGGCAGTGCAAAGGTCCCTTTTTCAGAGGGAAACCCTGATTTGCATGGTTTCTCCTTCATTAAATTGGCTAGTTCTTTATGTTGCTGGCTCTGAACATGTTTTACTGTTCCCAGAGACTCCAGAGAGGACGAAGACAAAGGAGACACTTCTGGTAGGAGAAACAAGGTTTCAGCAATTGGTGAAGACCATGGAAAACCCTCCATGCTGTGCTAACCTGAAGACAAGGTTGAAAAATTAGGGGGCAGAAAATAAAAACCTGTGGGAATTTAAGGGGAGTCATTTGGGTATGGGAGGAATGGGATTACATGCCTGAGTGGGCGACATAGGTCAGGGCAGAGGGGTGAGTATTGGGGTGCTTGCACTGGAGGACAGGTAAAACCATGGCAAAAGTCATGCCAAGGAAAAAGCATGAGTACTGGACAGAACCTGCTCTTCCAAATCACGCCATGATGCTAGGGTTGCATCTTCCATCATTTAATGAAACTGCAGGTTTTTTTAGCTTTTCAGGAAAAGCCTCTGGGTGTTAAGCAGCATGGACAGACATGTGTGCTCCAGCCCATGGACTGAGCCTGCTTCACCACCCGCTAGCAAGCAGCAGGCTAGCGTTGCACAACCACAGTGTGCTGGTGGGCAGGATTTCACCCAAGGAGCAGGTTCAAAGGTTTGAGAGGGGATGTGGTCTTAGGCTCTGAGAGATGCTGGCAGCGTGCAGGCAGGATGCCTGTGGTTTGCACGGGTCATCTCTGCCTGCAGCAGCCTCCCTATTGCTTTTGCTGCTAACAAAGTTGCGTTGTCTCGTTGCGTCGCAGCATTGCATCTTTACAGGGTGAGGGAAATGAATTTTGGAGGCGGCTCTTGTTCCATTGTTGTTGTCCTGTGAGAGAAGCTGAATTTGTTTCCTTAATGCGGTCACAAAGAAATCTTTGTGTGAAGGAAATATCAGGACACCTGTCTACCTATTTAACCTCAGCTGTGAGCAAGAGTCCCTGCTTGCACTTCTGACTTTCTTTTCCACTGCATGCTTTCTGCTGGCTTTGTTTTGCTTTGTTTTGCATTCCCCTGGCTGCAGTAATCCACCTGCTCGGGGAGCATCCCTGCTGCTCTCCACTGGTTCAGCATCGTGCAGCACAGCATGAGCGCTCAGCATTGCCAATGGGTGCAAGACTTGTGCCAGGTAACTGGCAATGTGGCCCAATTTAGTGTCATCAGGAAATGGTCAGTACTCTAAAAAGGGGTACACAAGCAGTTGCTTTCTCTGGGGAAGGAGTCCATAAAACAATGGGAAAAAAATTGAGTAAAATTTCTTTTCTGGACAAGACACGCTGATGGAGCTGATACTGTTGGAGTCGCTTCTTCCTCTCCTCTCCTCTTCTCTTCTCTGGAAACAGAGCCTATCACCTGTGATAACCTAAGGTGAATCTTCATGGCTTTTCCATGCCCACCACTCATCCTCTGCTATGTGGCTCGCTGCAGCTTGCAGCACGTAGAGAATAACTTTCCATGGAACGTGCTGGTTCAAAATGTCCAGTCTGAAACAAAAATGCTTTGTCTGTATGTGTATTGATTTATTTGTCAGAGTAGGAGTGTCACCTTTCTCTTAGCACAAGGCTGTCAGCTATTTTTGGAGTTTCCCAAACTTAGGGGAAATTCTTCTCCCATCTTTCTGGCACTAGCTGGACTTGGTGTTGAGTGCATGAAGCTCACTGCAACAGCTCAAAAGCACCTCAGGCATGAAAATTGCTGGTAAAATGAATGTAAGAGTGATTCGGGTGAATATGTGCAGGAGCAGCAGACCTGGGGCTGGCAGGGTTTGGTCAGCAGCTGGCAGGACAGGTGTGATTTAGATTTTAGCACTGGGCAGGGCACCTGCCTTGGCACTGAGGTTGCCACGTAGTCAAGGTGGAACAGTTTCTGCTTTCTGCCCTTTTCCTACCTGTTTGCTCTGTTGGGCAGAAATTTATTTCCCCATTGGTTTTGGACTGTGCCAGCACTGGAGCCCAGCCCAGGGCTGCTGTATGGCAGGCCACAAGGGCAGAGGTGCTTGAACCAGGACAGGTTTCCTATCACCCCTCTCACAGGAGCAAATACTCACTGGTATCTCCACCTGTAATTTTTTACAGGTAAAAAGCTAATTTCTTTTTCCCAGTTACCAATACCGGTGCTCTGAAACAGGTGAAAACATCCCTCCTTTATTTGATTTATTAAAAGCAGTGTTTGTTTGATTAACACTCACCAAAAAGAACAACAGCTGTTAAATTAAGCATGAAGTAACACATCTGGCAATAGCACTGTAAGCAATGAATAACACAAGCCAGGTATAGTTCTTAAAATTGAATGATTAAAATAGAAAAAATCCTTTTCAACGTAGGCAGCTAGAGAGTCACGCCCTATGGGTGGACATAAGCTTATACATGAATGTGCACATACTGGGGGACATGGGGATTTGCCAGATATGGGGAGTTTTCTGCATGTTTGTCAGCAGTTAGGAAGGCATTTTTGCTGTTCAGTGAAATTCAATTAATTCACCCTATTCTGCTCAGCCCTGGTTGGGCTTTCTGCTCCCTAGCATTAAAACCCACATGCAAATGTTAGAAATAGGGAATGGTAGAAGTCTGAACCATTAGTGGAGTGGGTTGGAAAAGACAAGAGAAATTGAGAAGTGCCAGTTTTTCCTGTTGCATTTTCCAAAATTTCATACTTTTAAGGAATCAAGATCATAAATGCACTGCTACAAATGTACAAAATACAGACAGAATTAGGAAAATTAACTTAATTTACACAGATGAGCATTATCAGCAGAGTCAGGCTTATGTGGTCACATTTGAAGTGCAAAAAGTCATCCTTTGGATTGGAGTTTCCACTGATTCAAGAAGGAAAGGAGGAAGGAGACAGCAGCTGTGGCTTGTTACTCTCTCCAAGTGCATTCAGGACAGGTTCCTCCTAGAGCAGAAAACAGGACCTTTTCCATCACCCTCGGGAGCACCGGCAGAGAGACGCAACGAGAAGGAAAGCTGCTTTCTCCCCTCCCTGACTCTGTTTTCTGAACAGCTTAAAGAACAAAAAAGCCACACACAAGTGCCGGACTGTGTCTGGCATGGAGAGTTAGCCCCAGCCTGTGGGATGCAAAGTCCAGGGAGAGCTGCTGTGGCTCCAAAAGCTCATGGCACTGTCGGACACTGTGTTATTGCTCATGTGCACGACGAAGGGAGAGCAGAAATCACTCCTTTTCATACCACACAGCATTTATTCTCCTTGGTGCGATCCACAGTGGCTGGCCAGGGAGGACCCAACCCCAATACTGGGGTCTTCCCAAGAAGAGGGGCAGCTGGAGCCCAGGATCAGCCCTAAGGAGGCTGCAGACCAGCTGCTGCCCGTTTCTGGTCTTGTGGCACCATCCAGTGGCTGCTGGCAGAGGACTCTCACTTCCCTGTCACCATCATGTATCCCCTTGCAGCCCAGCTCCCGGGGGCCAAGGTGGCCCCCTGAGCATCAGCAGCCACCAGTGCCGGTGGCTCGGCCAGGTCCTCCAGGGACAAGGTCTCCAGGTCACTGCTGTTGCCTGCAAACTGGAAAGGAGGACAGAGAGGGTGAAGAAGAGCAGCAGTGCCAGACCCACACCCCACATTTGCACCCTGTGCTTCCCTACTACAAATCAACAGGAGTTTCTTCTCCTTCAGGCTGATGCAAAAATTAGAGGGCCAAACATGGTTGCACCAGGATGCCACACAGGAGATCTTTTCTCTATTTCCATGGCCTGCAAATTGCAAATTGTACCATAAAGCTCATGCTTCACTTTTTTTTTTTTTAACTTTGCCAGATGAAGGCACAGAATTTCATCGTCACTGCAAGAAAAATAAAAAAAATCTTCCCAGTTGTTGTGCTGGGCCTTCCTTGGGTACAATCCTTTTTAATTTTTTTTTCTAAAAAAGCAATTTGATTCTAACACTGCCACCACATTAATTGCATCAGCTCTCTCCCATAAATTGAGGTTACACTTAAGTCCTGTTTTAGTAATTTAATAATTTTGCCATTGCATCACTCCAATTATCTCTGGATTTGTTCCACAGACCTTTTCTCAATTTGATTCTCTGGCACTTAGTATTTTGCTCCCAATTGCATGAATACTGATTTTCCCTCGATGGAAGGGCCAAGGGCCAAGTCTCTGCTGCTCTAAGTTTGAACTCCCTGCACATAGACTATGCCCTGTGGCACTGCTGATGGGTAGGAGCTGAGAAGAGGGTTTGACATGCCTTTTTTTGAATAGAAATTATGTCTGAGAACATCCCTTTTTTTGAATAGAAATTATGTCTGAGAACATCCCTGTGGCCACATTCGCACAAGAAACCTGGAGTTTCTTGGTGGGCTGGCTGGTTTTGGGCAATGCTGAGCTCAGGGCTGGGAAGGGTTTCACCCCACCGGGTGGTCTCTGTGCCACTGCACCCAGATGTCTCTCCAAAAGCCTCACCATCGTGGATGTGGCTGTCCCTGTGCAGGACAGAGCAGGTTAAAAGTGGAGCCCCAAGGCACAGTGACGGCACAGCTTGGTGGGAAGGGAGGGGACCACCACCTGTCCCAGGGTGAGCTGGTTTCTAAATAGCTTAAACTCACTAGCACTGTCTGGACCCATCCCAATGGAGCTGTTTCAGGAAGCAAATATTTTTTGCATAGGATAAAGCACGGGGGTTTCTCTCCCTGAACAAGCACTGGGTGGGTAACGCTCCCATGCGTGCAAGGATGCTGGAGGAAACACAGTCTGGGCTAGTAGTGTGTGGCAGAGCACTGACAGTTCTGTTTTGGCCTGGGACACACCAAAGCCACATGCAAGGAGTACTTGCTGCTGTCTGCAGTTAATGCATAGGCAAGAAGTGCCTCCCACTGCCCCCCAACTCTCTGAGGAGCTCAAGAGCAGTCCCCACCTCATTCCCTGACACATGGTTCACATCAAGTTTTACAGCATATAGCTACCGTTAAAACAAGCTTGTTTTTGACACCCCTTTGGGTCCTGTGGGGTTCCCTGCATGCTCTAGACAGTCTGGTTTCCCTCTGTGCAAAGAAACAGCCACAAGAATTATTGAGCCCTAGGAAAATACCCTGGCAGGGTCAGGCACACACGCTGCAGATAGTTAAAGCCACCAGTGCCCTGTTGCCTGGCTAGGTATGGGAGATAGCAGGGTAAGACTTGTCCCAATTCAGCCCCAGGAAGAAGGTGACTTTGCAGCGCTGATGGTGTTAATCAGGACTGTCCCCACCACCTCGCTGACCCACAGTGGTTGCTACAAGAACAGGCATTACTTGAACCAACCATTTCCTCCAGTGAGTCCAGGTCCCACCCGTCGGAATTGGTCTCACCCCCTGGCACCACTGCGGAGAGCGCTGGCTGTTGCTGAGCCTCACAGGGGATGGGGCAGGTTTCTTCCCTCCCAGCATTGCTTCTGAACTGGTGCACAGAGAGACTGGTTGGGCATGGGGTAGCTCTGGCATCCCCCTTTCCCACTGCTGCAGCACATGCAGGGAAGTCCTGAAATGCTCTGGGTTGTGACTTGACCCTGAGCAGGGAAGCTCATGGAGAAGCTTTATATTTGCCATGGACATGGACAGGTCCATCACACCCACTGACTGCAAACACTTTCCTGCTGGCATATCCAACAGATACTCACACCCATACCTTGCCTTGCATTTGGATATTGCTTTGCTTGAGTTTAAAACCTAGATCTGGCTTTTTCTTGCTCCTGGAGCAAACAAGTAATGCCTTTTCCTCTCTTGCTCTTGGTCACAGATGAGCTCCTCTTCCTCTCTGCTGCCATCTCACACCCTCTCTATGTTGTTTCTTCTCTGCATGGTCTGCACAGTTTCTCCAAGCTTTTATTTTACATCTTTACTACTTTTGCTCCAAAACCCCAAGGTAACTCCTTCATCCCCTTGCAGAGGTTCTGGGAGGGGAAGAAGGAGCTGAACATCTGTGGGAAATGCTCTGTGTTTGTCTCCAGCACCACATGGTGGGTACAAGCCCTCAGGTCTTGAGTTGAGTCAGCCTGTATGGGTAGGGAGACCCCAGGAAACTCCTTTTCCAAACAAAACCCTCTGGGGTGCCACATCACCCACCACTTGGCACTTTCCAAAGGTGCTGATGTTTGGGCAGCACTCAGCATACTTGGGGCCAGGTTGTGGCTGAGGGTCCTGGGTACTGCCCACCTACCTGGAGACTGAAAGGAGGTGATGGGACTCACCTCTGCCATGGGACAAATCCTTGGTAAGGACTGCTGGCTTTGGAGGTCCACAGGGTGCTCCAGGGAGTTCTCAGGGGGCTGTGGGTGGAGCGGGCTCTGCTCCGAGGAGCAGACTGGGGGATTACCAAGGCTTCGGGCTCTACTGCAGCTGATATCGCCATGGGCTGTGACCCACGAAGGGACCTGGGGCTCTTTGGGCTTTGAGCTGGAAGGCAATATTGAGAGCAAGGACAATCACCACCCACCTCCTGTTAGTCCTGTGGGCTGCCCTTGGGGGAGAAATGCAGCTTACCCAACATGGGGGGGTTGTGTAGAAAAAGGGGCGGGGGGGG